CTGAGCTTGAGCACTGGGCTACTGGTACCCCATTGGGTGACCCTGGGCAAATCTTCCTCGGTGTCTCTCTCTCAAACACAGGGATCACAGCACTTTTCTTCACTGCTTTGTAATCCTTTGTGCAAATACTAAGTGCCCAGGTGAAAAATGTGCTTGAAGGAAAAGTTTGCTCCAGTTTATACTGTTCATGGCAATATGTGGGAAGTATAAGCACTGAATGTGAGCTCATAGGGTCTGGGTTCAAATCCCAGCTGTGCCTTACTAGTTATAGAACCCTAATTAGGTACATCATTTAACCCCCAGAGGCTTCAGGTTTTTGTCTGTAAAATGAGAGGGGAGGGGATCTGAGAAAAGAACACATACACACACACACACACACACACGCACGCAAGCATGAAATTGATGCGTAGTTTTAGAGTTTAAGTTTGGCCTTAGAAAAGAGTTGAGAAAATAAGAATATGGACCTTTCCCTCCTTCTTTGTAGAGGTGGGGAAGCTGTGGGCATGAAATAGTGTGTACACTGTCAGAATGAGGTTGATATGTTGATTACTTTGTACAACTGCTTCTTTTCCCCCTCCCCCCAGTCTCATTTGTGATCCTGTTTTAAGGGATAGTTTTCTGGATGGGAACTCTGGGAGAATGTGTGTGTGTGAGTGTGTGTGTGTGTGTGTGTGTGTGTGTGTGTGTGTGTGTGTTAGAGAGAGAGAGAGAGAGAAAACAAGCATTTACTAAGCATGGTAGGCACTATGCTAAATGTTGGAAATACAGTATAATTATGAGCAAAAAAAAAAAGATAGTCCTTGCCTTCAAGGAGCTTACATTCTAAAGGAGGGAAGCATTTGTGATGAAAATCAAGGGCAGGGAGAAAATGGGAGGGTGAAGATACTGGTCATGGTAGAAAAAGTATAGAAAATGCAATCTGGTGAGGAATGGAGCTGCTGTGAGCCTGGACATCCTCCTCACAATGGAGCTTCTAGGAGGAACTAGCCAATAAGAGGGGGACTTCTGGGGTTGGTGAGTATTTCCAATATGAGAAGCAGTCCAGGGTAGAGGGAGCTTCCAGAGTGAAGAGGTTTCTGTGTCATGGTAGACTGGGTCCTGCAGAGGTGAGTCAGGAATGCAGCCTGGAAGGGAGTGTGTATATGTTTGTATGTTTAGAAATGAAGGTGAAATAAAAGCTGAAGAGCCAAAAGAACAAGATTTTAAAGATGAGAGGATTAAATTATGTGATCCAGGGCTCACTCTCTGATAAAAAGCAGAGCATCTAAATGTTTCCCAGCATGCATCCTTCGAAAGTAAAAGAACCAGTGAAGGGAATTGTTGTTTTCAATTGGATTCTCACCGGTCAGTAAGAAAGAACTATTTACTAAAGTAGAGATGATGAGAAATAGGGGATGGGAGTGACTATTCTGTATCATAATTTGTGATAGAGAAGGTAAAAAAACTCTGGCAAAGTCAGACATGCATGATAAGGTTTTTTTTTGGAGAGCATATTTCAAAGGATTAATAGAAATTATCAGAAGAAGCCTTTGGATTAATATTCTACAGGGGAAATCAAGTAAGATGAGTAGGTTTGGGAAGGTCTCAGAAATTAAAATTAAATTCTGTAGATACAAAGAAATAATTCTGAAGAGGAAAAACAGGGAGAGTTGTCTAAAGAAGACAGTGTGGATGCCTAGGAAATTCTTCATCCAGCTTAAAAATCCTTATGTAACTAACTGATGTGTCGAAACAAAATTTATCAGTAAGCAAAAAAGAAAGAATAGAAAATGAAAGCAGTGTTAATTAATGAAAGATGAATACAGAAGTGTGGAATAGTCCTGTAACAATCTTATCAGGAGTGCTAAAACACCTAATGAGCTGAAATTGTTGAAGAAATCAAAGGATAGGAGCAGTGAGGTGGTACAGTGAATGAAGCACTGGCCCTGGAGTCAGGAGGACCTGAGTTTAAATCTGCCCTCAGACATTTGACACTTATTAGCTGTGCGACCCTGGGCAAGTCACTTAACCCCATTGCCTAGTCCCCTCCACCCCCCAAAAAAGAAAGAAATCAAAGGATAAAGAAAAACAGAATTGTTGGAGTTTTTTGAACTGTGTACAGGAAAAAAGGGAAGATTAAAGAAGAGATAGAGGGGTATCTATATCTATCGATCTATAAGGAAGATCAAAGAAGAGATATATCTATTGAGATATTGATACAGATATTGATCTATAGGTATAGTGTGTGGGTATGTGGGTGTGTGTATATATATGCATATATATACACACACATATATATATACATATATACATATACATATGTGTGTGTGTGTGTGTGTGTGTGGAGAGAGAGAAGCAGGGGATCTGTGGATACATCTGTAAATGGATATATCTTTATCTCTCTAGCTAGCTGCCCCAGTGTGGATGGAGCAATGATAACTGCCAACAGAAGACAGAACTCCTCAAATCTGTTTTCTTTGCCAAGGAAAATGAGCTTTAGCCTGTGAAGAATTAAACTTGTTCCCTTTGACCCTAGAGAGCAGGATTAGGAACAGTAGGTAGAATTTCAGAGAGGCAAATTTAGGCTTGAGAAAAGGAAAAACCATCCTTAAAAACTAGAGCTATCCAGAGGTGGAGTGGGTTTCCTAGGGAGGTGTGGGTTCTTTCAGCAGAGATCTTCAAGTAAGGCTGGATAACCATTTGTCCAGTAAGTTGTAGAGGCCAGTCAGATGTGCGTTGGACAAACTGGCCTCTTGGATCCCTTCTAACTCTGAGTTGGTGATTCTTTGATTGCCTCAGTCTACGCTGGCTCCAAATTCTATTATGCAAAGTAGAATGGGCTAGGTCAGCTTGGTTCGCCTGAGTCTTCAAGGCTTCCATTTCTGATCTCCATACATGAACAATATATATCACCAATAAGTAGTCAGAAACACTGACCTAATGCTGAGTATCCAATACAAGGAAGGTTTTGACGGGCAGGTCACACTACAGTAAAGAGCATGTAATTGTGGGAAAGGTCACCTAATCCTATATCACTTGTTCCCACATTCCGAAGTTCAGCTCTTCTCCCCCTCCCACAATCTACAGAAAGCCGGGTTGATGTCCAAGAGCAGAGGCTCCTCCATCCCTAGGTTTTCTAGGGTAGCTGGGGTGTCCACAGGTGCCAGTAGCAGAAAGTCTGTTTGGCTAGACATTCTGAGCCAGGTGCCAGGGTTAAGGCCAGAGAGGCTTACCCTGAAGTATTTAACAGTGACACCCAACTAAAGAGCCCACCTAATCTTCCTACACAGCCAGAAGGGTGTAATGGCTAGAGCTGAGAACTGAGTCAGTTCTTTGGAGCTTGGCTTGTGACTCACTCTGAAAGTGTTGGACAGCTCACTCAACTCTTGTTGAGCCTTCAAAGGAAAGGTGATTCTCACCTGCTTCACAGAGGTAGCAATGTGGACAGAGGGCTTTCGGGTTTCCTGATGAAAAACAATCCTAAGGCCAGGCAGTTTTAGACTCCTCCTGAATTCACTTTCCACATGCTTTAAATAATGTTCAGATCCTGGCTTTCCTCCTCAACAGAATGTGCAGGTCCTTCCCCCCAATCAATCAATCAGCAAAAAGTTGCTGCCAGGCATTTTCCCGGGGCTTGTGATACAAGGACAAAAGTAAATCAGCCCCTGCCCCCCAAGGAGCTTACATTCTGTTAAGAGAAACAGCTTATGCATAGTAGATACAAGGTAACTGGGGGAAGGAAAGAGGGGAAGGCATTAGTGTGTGGGGTGGGGTACCAGGAAAGAACTAGGGAAGCAGGCGGCAGTCGATCTGAACTTTGAAAGAAACTAGGGATTCGAGGAGGCAGAGATGAGTAGAGAGTGTGTGCCAGGCCCAGGAAGCCTCCGATTCGATGTTAAAACCATTAGCCACAGCTGTTTGCAAGGACTACAAGGGGAAAGACACACCGAGGGCATTAACCTAACCAGACAAATAAGTAAATGAATGAATAAATGAATGAGTGAATAAATGAATAAATAAATAAAAATCTCTGTACCACGTGTGGCCATAAGTTCATCTGGCAGAGTGCTAGGACAGAGGAATCAGATGTACCCAAGAGGACAATCCTATCAGGGGACACCTTGTACGGAGAACCGGCATTTATGTCAACAGGCATGTGTTAGCACAGCTGAAATTCAGCGAGGAGAAAGCGGTGTGCCTTTCCTGAGGAGGTACTGAGGGACCCACAGCACGCCCTTCTCCAAAAAGCAGCTTATGTCAATAACAAGTTCAGTTGGAGGTGTATTTATTTTAGGCCGGCTTTTAATTTAGTTTAATCAGGATTACTCATAAATTATCTATTAATTACTATCTGGTATTCAGTTAAATCCTTCCAGCCATGGAACTGGCTTAGACTTGCAGTGAATGCCATCCACCTTAATTGTAGGGTACTTTGTCAACATTTAATCAGCGGGCCTTATTAATGTGCCATTGATGTGTTGGTAGCTCTCCCAGCACCATCAATCATGAGGAAACGGCAGGAGCCGCCTCTGACACCATTGCTCTCTGTCACATTACCGAGCCCCTGGGCTTCTGGTTACGGAGGATGCTCACTTTTCTCTCAACGGACACTCTGTCTCCCCAGTTCAACCCAATTTTTGTCATTGTCGACTTAAACACTCACAGCCCTTGGTCCTTGGTTCCCCGTTAGACCACTCAGCAGTCTCCGTAAGGAGAAAGAATCCCTTATTTGCTGTTCTCCTACCCTGTTCTCCAAATGTTGGGCTCTGGGAGTCTCGCCCCTAAATAAAATCCAGATGCGGGTGTGTGTGTGTGTGTGTGTGTGTGTGTGTGTGTGTGTGTGTGAAAAAAGCCAGTGACCCAGAGAAAATAGAAGTGGTCTCTCCTGCTTTCCTTTGACTCTGTAACTGAGTATTTCTGGAGATTGGTATATTGTTTAAAGCACAACCAGTGGAAGCTTGTTTGTTTTTTTTTTTAAATAGACTACATCTCATATTTTTATATCTCTCTCTTCTCTGCAGCCTCTATGGCAGACACATGCAGGCAAACCCAGAACCTCCAAAGAAGAATAATGACAAATCAAAGAAGATCAGCCGGAAACCCCTGACAGCCAAGAACAAATAAGGATTTAGTGTGGACTGATGCTTTTTACTTTCTCTCTCTCTTCTCTCTCTGTCTCTCTCTCTCTCTCTCTCTCTCTCTCTCTCTCTCTCTCTCTCTCTCTCTCTCACACACACACACACACACACACACACACACACACAGTTTCTAGTTCTGTAACCTCTACCCCCATTCCCTTGGCATTTTAGTCCTTTGGGAAGATGCTGGATTTTTGCAGGTGCCTGTTTCTGTGTTGTTTTATTAGAGGTGCCAAATAAAGGAAACCAAGATCTATTTTGACTGCAAATTCCAAAGAAGACTCTGCTTTTAAATCCTGGAATAAGAATCATGAAGTTCCATATTATCAAGAAAAATTAAAGCCGTGTAACCATTTACTATAGCTTAACACTGCTCATTCTTCTATTTATGTGTATGTTAACACGTGTATAATGGCTTTTATTAAGTCATACATATATACCCCCCTTGTGCTTTCATCAGTGTCCTTGTAACACCAAGATATTATGTTCATTTTACTTATAGATGATTTTAATAAAATCTTTTATTCGTATCACATGTTGCTTCTTTAATAGAATTCAGAATAATGGGATCTCGGGGAATACACACTTTTGTTTACTGATTTTTTTTTTCCCTAAAGCATTATCATGATATTTGAGTGGTTGTAGGAGATAGACTCTGAAGTCTTCCATGAAAAAAATAGGAAATTAAATCAGAGTTAGTTTTTTCTCACATTGATGTCATTTTTTTTTTGAAAGACTGTTTCTAAATTAGGAAGAAGCAGAAGAAACAAGTCTCTAGGAGATTCTGCCAAATGATTTTGGAAAGCAACCTTCTTATCTGAAGCAATGAGAGCCTCTGCCAGTGACTGGTAGAAAAGAACACATTCTGTCATTGCTCAAGACTCCCTGCATTTGAGCTGCCTTCTGAAGACTTGGTGCCAGAGGAGGGGTTCTGTGGGTCTGCCCATTTGCTGCCACACTCGCCAAGGCAGGGGCTGTGTTTGTGAGGTCATCGGACCTAGCTGTGACTGGCAGTTTCAGTCCCTATCAACAAAAACCATGCATTGTTTGCTTAACCAAATAAATATAGGCAGATGTTATTACTATAACTTATAGGCCTTCCTGCTTCCTAATGCAGCAGAACAGAAGCCAAGGTATCTGGAGATGCAACAGACGTTCCCCAATAGACTCGTGACAGGACCCATTTTCCCCCAGGTTCTCTCTGCTCTCCTTTCACATTTGATCCGCACTGCTGCCCTGCAAGGAGCCAGAGGCCAAACCCAGTTTGACAAGAAATGAGTTGTAAATGAATGAAGGAGCAAAGCCACCTAAGAGAATCCCAACTTCTTATATTCATAAATGAATTCTCTTGCAAAGTGGCAGTGATAGGTAGAGAAATCTCAAGGTGCCCATTCATTCTGTCATGGCTAAGGTGGAATTGACATTTCTAGACCCATTGTCTGCCTTAGCATAAGGAAAACCAGATTTTAAAAAAAAAATCAACCTGTTTTCAACTGATGGTGATGTGGGAAAAAGGAGAGATGCTCAGCTATGCTCCACCAGCAAAGTCTTTTGTCTTCAAGTTAAATTAGGCGTGCTCAGGATAGTATGCAGATTAGGAAATTTGGGTCTATGTTTTAAAACAAAGCAAAATAAAATCTAAATAAAGTGGCTTCATGTTTCTCTTGTGATGCTGAAATGAGCTTTTAACATCTGAGCATTTTAGTTTCTTCATGTCTAGATTTGAAACAAAAACCACATTGCAAAAAAGTTAGCTTTATGCTCTGAGCTTTGGATCTCAATGTAGGCTTGGTAATGTGGATGATAATAAGCTTGACTTTTCAGTCCAGCAACCATGTCAGATATTACTGGGGGTCTGCTCATGAAATAATCAGATAGCCAGACACCGCCTTTGGCCATAGAGTCTTCACTTATGCAGTCAGGAAAGACAGCGGGGTGTGGTGGAGAGACATCTATACTTGAAATAAGGTACCCACCTTGCATCTGGCTGTATGTTCACAGTAAAGTCACATAAACTTTCTGGGCCTTAGTTTCCTCATCTTTACAGTGAAGGTGATAATAATGCCTGTAGTACCTACCTGACAGAGTTGTGGGGATTCAGTGGAATAATGAATGACAGTTTGGCAAACCGAGAAATTCTTGAATAAACCCACAGGTGCTGCTGCTGCTGCTGCACTGATTTTTTGCTTTATCTCCCTTTGCCTCCTTCTTTTAAGGCACCAGTTCTTAACCTTCTTTGTATCATGGGCCCCCTCTCAGAATGTTTGTAAGTGCATAAAATAAGATATATAGAACTACAAAGGAAACTAATTATATTGATTTTGTTTAAGTTCATGAGCCCCAGCTTAAGAAATCCTGTTTTAAGGTTAATCCCCAGTTCTCCACGACTTTCCACAGACTCTCCTACTTTACCAGATGCAGGACCCCCCTCCCCCATCTCACCCCATGAAACTGGAGGGAGGGAGGAGCTGCCTGCTCCCATAATAGTAACTCTAAAAGTGCTGGAGCAGTTCAGAAGTTTCAGAGCACTTCTATATGTGTTCCCTTATTTGATCCTAACAGCAACTCTGTGTGGTAGACTATAGGGAGGGCAGTTACATGGCAAAGATTTCTTGAATTAATTTTTATTTTTTATTTCTTTTCAATGTCTAAATCTCTTGGGCCATTTGCTAGCAATTAAGTAATTAATGGGGGGGGGCAAGGATTGTGTCTCTATCACTGGCTTATCGAGAAGCTCTACTTACAAAAAATATATATTCTTGATTTTTACAGCAGGGGTTAGGAATGTCTTACAGGATAAAAGGAACCAGTTTGACCAGAATCACTAAAGTCACCAAATACAAAAGAGGGCAATCCCTGAAAATGAGGCCTAGAAGAGATATGTTCATCTCAGTTTTCTCTGTCCTCTGCTTTTTCATGCAGATTAAACCTCAGACTCAGGAGAGTTTATGCCATATTGCTTTCTCTAGTTCAATGTGAGTAGAGTGTTACTAAATTATATATGTGTATGTGTACGTCATATATAATAAACATGTTGCTCAAGATTTCCCACTTAAAAGTTTGGCTTTATTGGGATCTGATCCCATTTCCCCACAAAGGAAAATGATCTCTGAATATCATTATCATCATCATCATTGCCTTTCTCATATTGTTGGCCAAATGCCACCTACTTAGTGGTCCAACCCTTCACACTGTTTCTACTACTAATCATTACATAATAAACAACTTTACTCAAAGTCCATTGCCAAGCTAACCTTCGTGCTTTGAACTCAAAGAATGAATGAGATCCCCTGGAGAATGAGGCCATGTTAAAGCCAAATTCCAAATGTTCTTGGATGTCTACAATATTTGGATTTTAAAATACTGCCCATTGATTTTTACCAAATTGGAGATGTTCTAAGGAGTTACGCTTAAAGCAGATAAAGTAGCAGGTGGGCAGTCGAGAGTTCCCATTTTTTGACCCTTGATCTAGCCCAGACTTGCTGCAAGTGACCTAGAATTAAGCCCTGGCCTGTGGGCATGTATTTCTCCCTCTGTAATAGGAGCATAACAATGTCTTCATCTCACTCAGTTTTCTCCTCAGCGGTAATTTTTTTTTTTAATTTTATGAGGTCTTTGGAAACCATTAGAATAATTATGAAATGTGGTTTGTAAATGATTGTTATTAGCATGAGCTATGTGTTATTTAAAGCCTTTGTCACATGATAACTGCTACCCTGGAAGAGCACATACCACTGAATTATTAGGTTGTAAGGGCAATTAGGTGGCACAGTGGATGGAGCACTGGCCCTCTGAGTTAAAATCCAGCCTCAGACACTTACAGGCTGTGTGACCCTGGGCAAATCACTTGCCTCCAAAAAACAAACAAACAACAAAATATGATGTAGTGACATAGCAGACCTTGCTAGTCCTTGAAGCTATCGGCCTCAGCGGCCATGTGTTCTAACTCTCATCATTTCGTAGTGAGATTCAGATTTATCCAAGGTCACGTAGGCAGTAATGATCAGAGAGGTGATTTGAATTCAGGTGCTCTTCACTCCAATTGTTTGTCTAACTGTGTTTTCAGCCTACTAGTTGTACATGTTATTTCTGGTGGTTGTGACTACTTTAATCATAAGATCACATACTCAGACCTGCAAGGTACTTCAGAGTCCATCTAATTCAGCCCTTTTATCTTATAAATGGGGAAACCAAGGGCCCCTGAGAGAGGAAGTGGCTTGTCCAAGTCTATCAGTCATAATAAATGACGGTCCATTTGGTTCCTAATAATCTGTTAAACTGAAACTCTTCCATATTTGAGTTCTTAAAAAAGACCATTTTATGAGTATGTTTTAGTTGTGATGTCCAGGTTAGTACTGAATTATTCTCTTTCTAGCCATACTGCCTCTCTGGTTTATGTTGTCTTGGCTTCTTGTTCTTGATTAAGATGACGTTTGAAAGCTGGCTTCCATTGGATGGCCACATATATTGACCAAAACACATACTGAGTTCACTTCTGAGAACAATCGTGACCTTTTCATACCTTTTCCAGAACTGTAATATATCAAACCATTACAACTTCAGAGGAAGGGTTCCCTCCCAGAAACAGGCTGTAGAATCTTCCTTTCTGACATGTGGAGGTAGGAGACGAGCTGTGGTCCAGTCTCTGTGTATATGTGCCCTCTAGTAAAGCAACACTATGTGTATCTTTGTTGCTCCACTGATCCACTGAGTGTTATGTAGCTCATCTCCAATTTTCTCATTTTACACATGAAGAAACATGGACATATATTGGGAGGTGTAGTGAACTGCCAATGATTGGGCAGTTCTTATGGTGCTTTAAAGTTTACAACCAAGGAGGAAACCCAGGCTTTTGGGAAGTAATGGGGCTTACTTACAGGCACAAAGCTTGCAAATGACCGAGGTAGGATTTGAATTCAAGTGCCCCTGACAAATCCAGAACTCTTTCTACTACTCTACATGGTCTCCTTGCAAGCTAGTGGCAGAGCTGCAAAAAATGTTCAACGAGCTAGACAATGAAGGGTCAGTTGAAATGCAAAGGTATCTGATGAAGCTCCCTAAAGTCTGGGCATGGAACTTTCTCATAAATAGGTAGCTAGGGAATCTGCTGCTTCCTTGAACAGGAAGTGATGAGATTAAGCTGCTTCCTTTGATTCAGTTGGATTGATCTAGGAGATACTAAGAGCTTGGATTCATGGCAGGGTTGCTTGGGTATAGGGAGTGGGACATGATGATAAGTAAATATTTTGCTAACTATGTAAGAAAGGAAGATAACCAGAAGAGTAGAGAAGAGGGTTGGGAGAGGCCTCTTGTAGGAAATCGAACTTTTTCTTTGGCTAGGCCTTGAAGGGAGTCAAGGGTTCTTCCCTTAGCTTCCTTTGGCTTTCCTCTTCCAAGAGGAAGAGGTTTGAAGAAGGAAAACCATTGCAGGCATGGCAAATGGCATGGACAAAGATAGAGGCAAGAGATAATTCTGTCTCTTGAATGTCGTGTGCAGAGAACAGCTATTGAGCCAGCTCAGCCAGAACATAGA